GGGGTAAGGAGGAGGAGGAGGAGGAGGAGGAGGAGGAGGAGGCGGAGGAGGAGGAGGAAAAGGAGGAGGAGGAAGGAGGAGGAGGAGGAGGAGGAGGAAGGAGGAGGAGGAGAGGAGGAGAGGAGGAGAGGAGGAGGAGAGGAGGAGGAGGAGGAGGAGGAGGATGAGGTGGAGGAGGAGGAGGTGGAGGTGTGGTGAGAAGGGAGGAGGGAAGAGCGTCGCATTCGATTATCAGCAGTTTCCTGCACGCATGCACTATGGTGTACACTAGCGTTGCGTTGCACGCGGATGTTGTGGTGTAGACAGGCGCTGTGGCGTGCACAGGCGCTGCGGTGCACGCAAGCATTGTGGTTTACACAGGCGCTGTGTTGCACATGGTTGCTGCGGTGTACACATGTACACCGGCGCTGTAGTATACGCAGGCACTGTGGTATACAAAGGCGCTGCATTGCACACGGTTGTTGCGGTGTACGCAGGCGCTGTGGTGTACACGCGCGCTGTGGTGCACGCGAGCGTTGTGGTGTACACAGGCGCAGTGGGGCATATCGCCACCTACATGCTGCTCGCGTCGTCGTCGTCGTCGTCGTCGCTCGTCGCTCGTCGCGTCGTGCGCGCGGGCGCGGGTGTGGTGCCGGAGCCACACGGCGGGGGGGGGCGTTACGTCATACCCCCCTGCCCCCCCCCCCATGACGCCCGTCATCGCCGAACGTATGCCTTCTTGGCTTCCTTCGCCTTCTTGGCTTCAAGTCGGGTATGTCCTTCTACAGGAGGAACAGTCCAAAATAGTTCAAAGGTAGTCTGGGGACGATTATTCGATTACGTGTGACAATTTCTGGGCATTTTTCCACATTTATCTATGTATCTGTCAATATACATATATATATATATATATATATATATATATATTCATATATCAATCATCATACTGAGGATAATAATTTGTCTTCAGAAGGACATGCCCGACCTAATATCAGCTTCCTCTGCCCCCGTGGCCTCATCGGCTTCTCCTGGCCGCCTTGGCCTTCCCGGCCTCGTCTGCCCCCTGAGCCTCCGCTGGCCCCGTCCTGCGGCGTTCCCGGGCCTCTGCTGCCCTGGGTGGCTTCCGCTGCCTCTTCTCGCTTCCTCTTCCCTTCTCGACCTCTGCGGCCTGCCTGGTCTCCTCCGCCTCCTTGGCTTCCCCTGTCTCCTCCCTTTCCCCCTCCTCCTTGACCCCCGCGGCCTCTCTGGCCTCTGCTTAGCTGGCTCCCTCCGCCTTTTTTCTCGCCTCCTCCTTGTTCGTTTCATTGGCCCTCCTGGATCTTCTGCCCTCTTGGCCTTCCTGGCCTCCTCTGAAATCTCGGCCTCCTCGGTCTTCCTGGCCGTCCCTCCCTTCCTGGCTTCCTCTTTCCTTTTGGCCTGTTCTGTCTTTGGGCCGCCGCGGCTTTCCTGGCCTCCTCCTGCCTTCTTTCCTGGCTTCTTCTGCGCTTTCAGATTCCTCTGCTTTCTTGGCCTCCCCGGCCTATCTGGCTTCCTCTACCTTCTTGGCCATCTCTGCCTTCTTAGCCTCCTCTTCCTTCTTGCCCCCCTCGGTCTTGTCGTCGCCGTCCTCCACCGCATCCTCTTCTTGAGTAGTCGATAGGGACTCGATTGAAGCCGTGGTTGTCGTTGCCCTTCGCATCCATGTGGCCATGCACCAGTCGTGGTGCCACTCCTCTCACTCGCGTAGGTGGGCATTCATATCGTAGATGTGCGGCTTTATGGGCTGCAGCTATGCAGCGAGCGAGGCATCGTTGTGCCGCCATCCGTTTGGCCTTGCGTGGCCATCGTTGCAGAAGTTGCCGTGGTCGTCGTGATAGCCGGGCTTCGCGCTCCACGCAGGCGCCCCTTGCCAGAACCATGCCGTGTCGCTGTACATCAGGGGCGTTCGCTCAGGAGTGTGCCCAGGAGTCTTCAGACCCTGCTCATCTGATGAGGGGTTCCACCGGCTTCCAGACCGTGGACTCCCCACCCAAGGATCGACTGCGAGCGAGCGGGGGAAGTGAGCAGGAGGAGGCCTTCTGGTGGGGCTTCTCAGAATCCCGCCCGCCTTCCGAGGAGCTCTCCGTGTCTTCGCCGAAGACAGGGAGAGCTCTCGCCGAAGACACGGGGACCCGTGTCTTCGCCGAAAATTGCCAGGCCTTCCCCGAAGACTCTTCGGGGAAGGCCTGGCAGTTTTCTCAGAAGGCCGGGGGATCGGCCTTCTGAGCAGGCCCGCCCCTCGCCCCTGGGCTGACCGCCAAAGTCAGGAGGGGAGAAAACACACAGACACAATTCATCGTCGATCCCCAGGAAAAGAGGGGAAAATATGGGAAGTAGGGGGAAGGGGAAAATCCAGGAAGCATGAGAAAATATTCGGAACACTGGTTTTTGTGTGCTTCTTTGTGTGTCCCTGGGCCCCCTCACAGAAGGACTCCTCACACGATGCCCTACCGTAGTCCACCGCCCGCGGCCCAGAGTGCGGCCGTGCGGGCTGGGGCCAGGCCCGCGGCCCAGAGTGCGGCCGTGCTGGCTGGGGCCGGCCGCGCGGCCCCGAGATTCCCCCCCCCCCCCCCCCAGGCAGGCGGGCGCGCATGGGGCCAGACTGGCCTTGAGCCAAGACGGTTGCGGAGCCCCTCCTTCTCCTGCTCCTGCTCCTCCTCCTCCTCCTCCTCCTCTTCCTCCTCCTCCGAGTAGTAGTAGTAGTAGTAGTAGTAGTAGTAGTAGTAGTAGTAGTAGTAGTAGTAGTAGTAGTAGTAGTAGTAGTAGTAGTAATAGTAGTAGGAGTAGTAATAGTAGTAGTAGTAGTAGTAGTAGTAGTAGTAGTAGTAGTAGTAGTAGTAGTAGTAGTAGTAGTAGTAGTAGTAGTAGTAGTAGTATATAGTAGTAGTATA